CCCACTAGATGAGACAGAGAGAGAACAGCTCAGATCCAAAATAGGACAGGTTTTATGGGTTGCTAAACAAATGAGACCAGATGTTATGTTTGATATTTGTAGCCTGGCATCCAACATTAAAAATGCTACTGTTCAGTCCATACATGAGGTGAACAAAGGGATTCGGAAACTCAAGTCAGAGAAGGTCACACTGAAGTTTCAACACATTGATAACAGTGATAATTTGTGCTTGGTTGTCTTCAGTGATGCATCACTGGGCAACCTACCAGATGGAGGCACACAGGGAGGGCTTTTCATAGCTTTAATGGGGAAAACTGGAAGATTCTCTCCTCTGTTTTGGCAGTCTAAGAAAATCAGACGTGTTGTAAGAAGTACAACAGCAGGAGAAACTCTTGCCATGTCAGATGGTATTGATAATGCCATGTTTTTAACCGCACTCTATTCTGAACCTACTGCTGGTAAAGCTGATCTGAACATGTTGCCCATTATCTGTGTCACTGATAACCACTCATTGTTTGATGCTCTCAAATCTACAAAACAAGTCACAGAAAGAGACAGATTAGAAATGAGTGGTATTAAATAACTCATACAATCCAACAAAATTAGAGAGGGGCGTTGGGCAGATGCAAAGTCACAACTTGCTGACTAACAAAAAAGGGTGCATCTTCTCTTGCACTCCTAAGAAGAAGAAGAAGATATCATTTCTATAGCGCTTCTCAAGATAAAAATCACGAGGCGCTTCACAAAGACAAAAAATATAAAAAAATTGTAAAAATATAAAAAAGCATTTAGAAAATGTTTAAAAATATATTTAAAATGAGCAAAAAAAAAGCAATTGCGATTTAAAGGAAAAAATGTTAAGAAAGAGAGAGAGTGAATAGGAAAGAGGGAAATCAGTGGATCCTGAGGAAGGTGGGATAGGTGGGGAGAGCGGAATAAAAAGAGAGAGTGGTGAAGAAGGTAATACAAAAGCCAGCTTGAACAAGTGAGTCTTCAGCTGCTTTTTGAAGGAGACCACTGAGTCCACTGATCTCAGACTCAGGGGGAGAGAGTTCCAGAGTCTGGGGGCCACAGCAGCAAATGATCTGTCACCTTTGGTCTTTAGCCTGGTGCGCTGCACAACCAGTAGGCTTTGATCACTGGACCTCAGAGACCTGCTGGGGGTATAGGGACTAAGAAGATCACCAATGTAAGATGGTGCTTGTCCATGTAAGGCCCTATAGACCAGAACCAGGATCTTGAAATGAACCCTGATGTTGACTGGCAGCCAGTGAAGCTGGAGGAGAAGCGGGGTGATGTGGGTGTATTTGGAGGACTTGGTCAGAATCCGAGCACAGGCATTCTGAACCACCTGTAAACGGTTCAGGGAGGTTCTGCTCAGACACAAGAAAAGAGAGTTACAGTAGTCTAAGCGTGAGGAGATGAAGGTTTGGATAACTGTCTCAAGTTCAGAGCGGGACAGAATGTTACTCAGCTTAGCAATGTTCCTGAGATGGAAGAAGGAAGAGCGAACAAGAGAACTGACATGAGAATCCAGGGTGAGAGCTGGGTCAAAAGTCACGCCAAGATTCCTGACAGAAGGTTTGGTGTGAGAAGCAAGCTGACCAAGAGAGTCTCTGACTTTGGGAACCAGCTTGTCTGGGGCACAGATGAGGATCTCAGTCTTATCTTCGTTCAGCTGAAGAAAGCTCCCAGCTATCCAGGTTTTGATAGAGTCTAAGCAGGTGTGTAACAGCTGCAGCTTAGACATCTCATGGGGCTTAAAGGAGATGTACAGTTGGATGTCATCTGCATAAAGATGGTAGGAGATTCCTTTGAAGGAGCTCAGGATTTGCTGAAGAGGAAGCAGATAGAGGAGGAAGAGCAGAGGTCCCAGCACAGAACCTTGTGGGACACCATGGGTAAGAGAGGTGGTGGAGGACCTAAACTTGTAGACGGCCACAGAAAAGGAGCGCTCAGAGAGATAAGAGGAAAATCACTCCAGAGCAGATCCTGATAGGCCTACCCAGTCTCTCAGCCTCTCCAGTAGCAGGTGATAGTCAACAGTGTCAAAGGCTGCAGTCAGGTCCAGCAGGACCAGAACAGAACAGTACCCGACATCACTGTGAGTCAGAAGGTCATTAGAGACCCTAAGAAGAGCTGTTTCAGTAGAATGAGCTCTACGAAAACCAGACTGGAAGCTATCATAGATGCTATGTTCATCAAGAGCAGCAGTGAGTTGTTTAGCCACAACCTTTTCCAAGATCTTGGAGATGAACTGAAGTTTAGAGATGGGTCTGAAACTGCTATGGAGAGAGGCGTTGAGACTCGTTTTTTTAAGAAGCCGGTGGATTACAGCATTCTTAAAGTAAGCAGGGACCTGACCAGAAACCAGAGAAGCATTAATTATAGAGAGCACGCTGGGACCGATGGACAGAAAAGCACTTTTAAACAAAGATGAGGGTAAGATGTCGAGGGGGCATGCAGAGGTCTTCATAGAGTTAACTAGTTTGGTTAACTCAGGCAAAGAAACAGGAGCAAAGCCATCTAGGATGATGGGCCGGGTTGGAGTCGGGAGAGGAAGCGATAAGACTGAAGGAGATATGCTAGATCTAACTTTATTGACTTTGTCCACAAAGAAAGACAGAAAGTTCTCACAGTCTGCAACAGAGTGGATGGAGGCTGTAGGAGAGGCAGGAGAGACGATGCTGCTGATGGTGTTAAACAGCACCTTGGGGTTCCCTTTGCTCTGGGACACCAGGTTGGACAAATAGGAAACCCTAGCGTCTCTGACTGCAGAGTTAAAGGATGACAGAAGATCCTTTAGGTGCAGCAGATGGACGTGGAGATGGGTTTTCTTCCACAAACACTCAATTTTTCTGCATTGGCGCTTCAGGCTGCGAAGGCTGTCATTAAACCAGGGAGTAGGGTTCACTGCAGGAACTGATCTGGTTCTGACAGGACAGATGTTGTCCAGAATGGAGAGGCAGTGCTCGTTAAACTGAGAAGTTAAGGAATCTGGGTCGTTATCAGAAGAACAGGGAGGATCAAAAGCAGCAGAAAAATTGCTAGCTATGCTCTCATTAAGAAAACGAGAACTAACCATACGGCGAGCAGGAGGTGGGGACGCAGAAACTGACAAGTTAAAGAAAATGCAATAATGATCTGAAATATAAACATCCTCAGGACAAACACTGTCAGCATTTAGACTCAGGGTAAAAACCACGTCTAGTGTGTGCCCCCTGGTGTGTGTGGGGCCAGAAACATGCTGGGTAAAGCCAAAGGTGTCCATAAGGCTGGAGAAATTCATGGCAAAGAGATCAGAGGGATCATCAACGTGGATGTTAAAGTCACCAACAATGACCAGTCTGGACAGCTTCACAGTGGAGAGTGGAAAGTCACTAAACTCCTGAAGGAAAGAACTATTTGGACCAGGTGGACAATAAACCACAGCACAGTAGAACGGGTCCTTACGCCCGACTTTAATCAGCTGCAGTTCAAAGGAAGCAAAGTGACCAGAGGTTGTAGAGCTACATGGAAGATGGTCTCTGAAAACAACAGTTAGGCCTCCACCACGACCAGAACCCCGGGGCTGGCTAAGAAAAGAATAACCCCTCGGGCAAAGTTCAATCAGAGCAGAATAATCAGATGTTTGCTGCCAAACTTCAGTCAAAAACAGAAAATCCAGGTTTTTAGAGAGAATTAGATCATTGAGCAGGAAGGTCTTATTGTTAACAGAGCGGGTGTTCAATAGAGCCATGCTGAGTGAGGTGGAGGGCACTAGATGAGGGTGTGTGGTGCCAATAAAAACAAAAACAAAAGAGCTTGCACTATGTACGCATATTCACTTGTAAAATATTCCTTTGTTTTGATGTTACAGTTTGTATGTTTAAGCAAAATGTTTTAAAAATGAACAAAAAATGTATTTATTTAAGAAAGAGTGAGATTGTTAACTCACTGTAAATGTATATATTCAGGGAGTTTCTCGTTTCTTGTTCTATCGCAAGATTTGTTTCTTGTTCTATTGCGAGGCCCTGGGAGAAGCGGGAAGGCGGAAGGAGCGAGAGTTCTAAATGGCAATAAACGGTGGCACTGAAAAATAAACGTGTAGTTTATTAAACTTTATATTTCTGTCAATATCGGGTGCTGTGTACATAAATGAGGAAAACTTTTGATTTAATTGATTTTAGCAAATGGCTGCAGTGCATGAGTGGAGGCATTACAGGGGCTATACGGAAATTAGGCTGGGATTGCCAGAATGAGTCTGGTTTTAGAGATCAGCTTGCCTCTCGGCTTGGCCCTCTCTACAAGTTTGCTCACAGTCCGTTGCGTTGTGGGTAAAAAGTACACTTCTTACAGAAGTTGGCTCCAACTTTAATACACTACTATATAAAACAAAGGCAATTTCACTTTCAGTCTTTGATAAATAGCTTCATCTTGAAGGGGCTTTAAAGGTCAAGAGGTCATCTGTATCTGTGTTTCCACCAGCTCCAAAGGAATGCAGTCGGTTGCTGAGCTAAGGAACAAGAACTGTTTATCAAAGCCAAGACCAGTTGATTTTGGGAATGAGTAGAGCAAAGTGATATGAAGTCAGGTCAGCCTGACCCGCGGTCTGGTTTCTAAAGGCAATGTTCACGTGTTGGTTTTTCCAAGGTCTGCAAAGAAATAGTTTGTGCAGTTTATTCCAAGCAAAGCCGAAGTCCATCTGATAAAGTAAACTGTTCATCAGAAAAGCTAACGACCAGTGGTCCAGACTTTTAAATACAACTGCCAAAGTTAATAAAGTCAAATCTGTTATCAGGTGGAAAAGTCCAACTTAATGTCTAAGACTTGGCACGCTCGTTATGCTGTCTTGTTTGAGCCACAAACTGCCTTGTTTAAAATGTTATGCAAGGGCGAGCAAGCCTTGTACATTGGACGGGACTGCATAAAAGTGAGCCTCAGTTCTGGTTCGGGGCCTTTTGTCTAAACGGCTGTTTGTATGTTGTGAGCAGATTCGAATTCATTAAAGACCCACGCTGTCAAATGGTGAACCCGTCTCCAACTCTTTTATAAGATCACAAAACCCTCTACAATCTCAAATCAAGCACAATTCAAAAACATAAATAAGGACATTTTCTATCTGTAATATTTGTGTTTTTTTCTTATTTCTGCAAAGCAATGAGTGGCATGACTGTGTTTACATCGTGAACAGAACTGAGCGAGGTTATACTCAAGATTAGTAAAAACAACATCCTGGTATTAGAATAAAAACATTTGTACAGTTAGCCATAGGGGCCTTAGCATAATTCGTGTAACAGTAACACGTTAGCGGCTACATGGTAGCTGGAGGTTGCCCCAAGCTTAGTTGGATGGTGGATGTGTTCAGTACTTTTGTAGTTAAATGAGTTTTCTGTCCTGTGTGGACTCTCATGTGACTTTTTAAATTTGATTTTGTACTAAATCTTTTTCCACAGAACTCACAAGCAAAAGGCTTCTGTCCTGTGTGGACTCTCATGTGACTGTTTAAACTGGTCTTTTCACTAAATCTTTTTCCACAGTGCTCACAGACAAAATGTTTTTGGCCTGTATGGATACTCATGTGACCATTTAAACTTTCCTTTCTGCTAAATATTTGTCCACAAAGCTCACAAGCAAATGGTTTCTGTCCTGTGTGGAGACGCACATGTCTGTTTAAATTTCCCTTCTGACGAAATCTTTGTCCACAGAGCTCACAAGCAAAAGGTTTCTGTCCTGTGTGGACAGTCAAGTGACTGTTTAAATGTGCCTTCTGGCTAAATCTTTGTCCACAGAGCTCACAAGCAAAAAGTTTCTGTCCTGTGTGAACACTCATGTGTTTGTGTAAACTTATCTTTTGACTAAATCTTTGTCCACAGAGCTCACAAGCAAAAGGTTTCTGTCCTGTGTGGACTTTCATGTGTCTGTTTAAGTTTGATTTTCTCCTAAATATTTTTTCACAGTTATCACAACTAAATGATTTTAGTTCTGTTCGGACTTTACTGCATGAGTCTACATGTTGCTTCACGTTAACACGTTTCTTACTAACCAAACAGCCTAACGGCATTGCTGAATTACCCATCATCGTCACATGTTTCTGGAGAGACCATTTATGAAGAAACTGTTTACCACACTCAGTGCAGCTAAAGGATTTGTTCACAGTCTGAACATCTGTGTCAGAAGAGCTGCTCTCATTGCAGTCGTTGTCTCCATCTTCAGTTTCAGGCCCAGAGTCTGACAGCTCAGAGTCTAGATTCACATCATCATCTTCTCCATCATCTCCACTAATTTCAGTCTCTGAAGAATCGGACGTCTGTTCATGAGGGTTCAGATCTGGGTTCCTGCTAGTTTCTGCACTTCCACCAGTTTTTGCTGTCATCAGGTCAGCTGAGCTGCTGGTTGGAACACCTCTGTCTTCTATTTGCTGCTGATCAAGCGGTGAGAAAAGAGGTTTCTCTTCATCATCCTCACACTTTAGAACAACGACAGTGAATGGAAAACTGGTGAGATCAATCTCCTCCTCCATACGGTGCCGTTCTCCCTCTAAACTGGTCCAGAGTTCCTCCTGTTCCTCTTTTATGTGGAGGAGTTTTGGTTCCTGCTGGTCCTCACCAGCACTCTGTTCTTCATGAGGTTCTTCTTTAACCACCACCACCTGTTGAACATCTGTAGGAAATACAGAAATACACAATGTGTATTACTGACTGTACCCTAAAGCTCTGTGTGAAGACTCACTTGTTCAAGCTGGCTTTTGTATGACCTTTTTCACCACTCCCTCTTTCTTAACATGTTTTTTAATCACAATTGCCTATTTTTGCTCATTTTAAATATACTTTAAAACATTTTCTAAATTCTTTTTTATATTTTTACATTTTTTGTGAAGAGCCTCGTGATTTTTATCTTGAGAGGCGCTATAGAAATGATACTTTCTTCTTCTTCGGTCAAAATGTCCTCATTTGTGTCATCACAAAAAAGGAGTGGAGTCCCCAGACATGAAAATTGTTAAGGATCTGACTTTTTTGTTTACTGAGATGCAGAGTGGAACTATGGCTAAGAGTAGATCATTGATCGGATTTGTTCCTGTGTATCGGCACACACGTGGTTCACGGCTTGATCATGTGGAGGGCCGAGGCGCCACTGGTTCAATCCAAACAAGAAAAGCACAGCGGTGGTCATGGCTAGGGAGGAGAGGAGCTTGAGAAACCACCTGCATCATTTAAGTGGCATGTATGGGAGCATTTTGGATTCCCTGTAAATTACAATGATGATACAAATGGAAAAAATGAACATGAGTGTGTGCTTCCAGCCTTACAACGCAGCATTGTACACACATACCCCCGATCGCTCTGTGTCTGTGTGGGGTGGGGGGTGGGGGGGTTGTTGACGTGGTGGGACCTGTAAATATTTGAAGGACAAATCTGTAAAAGAGGAGGCAAGAAAATAAAACAGGACACAGCGAGTGAGCAGAAATCGGACTTCTGTAATTCATATTTATATAGCAAGTTGAAAATTTAGCAGAAATATGAGCATTACATGTTCTACAAAATTAAAAGAGAGCAAACTTTTTTAACTTTCAGTTTTCTTTTTTTTCTGCCGAGCTGAAAAATGATCCAAATCATGACTGAAAACCGTGACATGATCCGAACTGTGGGTTTTTTGATCCGTTGCACCACTAGCTAAGAGGAAAGGCAATAAACACATGAAGTGTTGGCGAAAAAAAATGGTGTGTGCAAGCCACTTCAAAGAACACTACTTTGGCAGCAGAATTAGCATGCAAACTTCTAACTATAGAAGCTTTCCGGAGTTTTCCCCTTTCGGAAATTATGTATGATTTTTCAGAAATCTCTAAAAGTTATTATCTCACCAAGTACAGCACGTCTTTTTTTTTTTTTTTTTTTTTTTGCTAAGCACGCTCCCTGCCCTGCCGAGCTCCGTGCGATAGGAAACTGAGCGCAGACCAGAACTAACCAATAGTGTTAGACTACCGCTTACGTGCTTCAAATTTAAGGAATAACTTGACTGTCGCAGAGTTGATGACAAGTAAGTCTTTAAAATATAATGTAACGTCCAGCAATGGTCAGTTTTTAGGTTCTGTTTGACCATTGTAGTGTGATGAATTGTCCATTTCTGACCTAAAGGCCCTGCTCTATTTGCTCTGCACAAGCAAAACCATAAGTTTCTGACACAAGCCTAATCTACAAGATATGGGCCAAGGCCACTCATGCTCTGTGCTCTTATCTAAACTGTTGCTTCCTCGGACAGCACAAGAAAGAACAAAGAAGAACTCTTTTAGAAACAGAACTATTTCTCTTTAAATAATAATCAAATAATCATGTGAAGCTAATGTTCAATCAATCTGTGAAATGAGAATATTAATTATTTGATATTATAATCCTATGATAGTATTTTAATAAGTAAAATAACTTTAAACTAGATACTAGACTCATCACACGTAATGTTAAAAAGGCGTGGTTTTGTTGGTGCTTGGTAATCCCCTTTTGTTGGCAAATCCTGATTCGACCATAAATTAAAACATCCAAATTATAAAACTATACCCACGTCATCATAAGTTGAGTTCCAAGCGTTCTAGCGAAGTTATCGGAGTGGCCAATCCGTAACTTTCCTCTTAAAGCTGAAAGAACCTAACGACAAGCTGGATTAAATCTGTTGCATGTTCCACCTGCTGCAACGGTTCCTTCAGAATAAAAGCTGAACCATCACGACCCTTCAGGGTCTTGCTAGATGCCAATAAAACTGTCGTGACCTGGGAGTAACTCAAGACTGGACTGGTCGGCAACTGCGGCTTTGCTACAGGCTTTTATGGCAAGCCAAATGAGCATTTATTCTGATATCAGGATATCAGCCAGAATTGTCATGAACATGTAAGCCATTTCTGTCCACTAGTTAACTAGTTAGCCATGTTTGTGTCAACTAGTTAAATAGTGACAGCCTAAATGTCAACTAGTTAACTAGTAAGGCCTAAATTCTCTCTAGTTAACTAGTTAAAATGTTTCATATCTTACTAGTTAACTAGTATTGCTCAGTGTGTTCACTAGTTAACTAGTGGACAGATCAATGTCCACTAGTTAACTAGTTAAAACACATTTAGTTTTTACTAGTCAACTAGTAAGGTACAAAAACTCGTACTAGCTGACTACTGAATGTAAAAATCCCACTTGTTAACTTTGCCCAATTTGGCCAGCCGCTTGAGCATTAATTCTGATATCTTGTCAACAGGTCAACTAGTTAACTAGTGAGGGTCAAACTGTACACGCTAGTTAACTAGTGAACACATTTTGACCTTCACTAGTTAACTAGTTGACACAAAAATGGCTCATTAGTTAACTAGTAAAGGCCAAAATGCATACCAGTCAGCTAGTTGAAGGTATTTGTGTCTCACTAGTTAACTAGTCAGGGTCAAAATGAGCCCACCAGTTAACTAGTGGGAGACGGAAATGTTCACTAGTTAACTAGTGAACACATTTTGGCTTCACTAGTTAACTAGGTGACACAAAATGGCTCACTAGTTAACTAGTAAAGGCCAAAATGCATACCAGTCAGCTAGTTGAAGGTTTTTGTGTCTCACTAGTTAACTAGTGATGGCCAAAATGTGCACACCAGTTAACTAGTGACAGAAGAAATGCCCACTAGTTGACTAGTGAACACATTTTGGCTTCCTAGTTAACTAGGTGACACAAAAATGGCTCACTAGTTAACTAGTAAGGGCTAAAATGCACACCAGTCAGCTAGTTGAAGGTTTTTGTGTCTCACTAGTTAACTAGTGACAGTTCAAAGTGTCCACATGTTCACTAGTAAAGGCAAAACTCCTAACTAGTTAAGTAGTTGGAGTAGGGCAGTGCCACTAGTTAACTAGTGAACCATTAATGACTCACTATCTAGCTAGTTGATTGTAGCAGGCTCACTAGTTACCTAGTTGATGCATCCATTGTCCAAACTAGTTAACTAGTGAGGACATAAATGTATACTAGTAAACTAGTTCAAGCCTACATTCACACTAGCTAGCTAGTTGCACAGAATTCTAATTAGGAGGCAGAGAATTTCTCAAATTGAGGCTTTCTATTGGCTCACTATGTTAAAATAAAATATGACAACCAATCACAGTGCGGAATTTTGCAAAATCCCACCCCAAACATTTGAATGCGGCACACAAGTTAACATGCTGGCCAGAGGAACCTCAGCTAGTAAACTAGTAGTGGCTTCAGTGTGACACTTACATGTAAACTTGTGAAGGCGGAACTGCTCACTAGTTAACTAGAGAGGGTACAAATGTCCACTAGTTAACTAGTGAGGTGCAAAATAAGTGTCACTAGTTCACTAGTGGGCCCCAAAATGCCCACAAGTTAACTAGTAAGGTGTGGATATGCTCACTAGTTAACTAGTGAGGTGCAGATTTGCTCACTAGTTAACTAGTGCACCCTTAAGCGCCCACTAGTTAACTAGTAAGGTGCAAAAAAGCATCACTAGTTAACTAGTAAGGTGCAGATATGCTCACTAGTTAACTAGTGGGCCCCAAAACGCCAACTAGTTAACTAGTTGGGTGCGGATTTGCTCACTAGTTAACTAGTGAGGCACAGATATGCTCACTAGTTAACTAGTGACGTGCGGATTTGCTTACTAGTTAACTAGTGAGGCGCAGATATGCTCACTAGTTAACTAGTGAGGTGCGGATTTGCTCACTAGTTAACTAGTGAGGTGCGGATTTGCTCACTAGTTAACTAGTGAGGTGCAGATTTGCTCACTAGTTAACTAGTGAGGTGCGGATTTGCTCACTAGTTAACTAGTGAGGTGCAGATATGCTCACTAGTTAACTAGTGAGCATATCTGCACCTCACTAGTACCTCACTAGTTAACTAGTGAGCCTATCTGCACCTCATTAGTTAACTAGTGAGGTGCGGATTTGCTCACTAGTTAACTAGTTGCATCTAAAAACACATACAAGCTGACCATTTTTGTCCACTAGTTAACTAGTGGAACAATTGAAATTTCACCAGTTTACATGTGTGGCAGTGCAGCAGCTCACTAGTTAACTAGTGCCTGAAACACAAATTATGCATATTCTAATGAGAAGGCGGGCAGAAGACTCCTGTTGGGTATAAGAATCCCACCCAGTCTAAAACGTATGTGCTGTGGCCTCACAATCTGATGGGTGTCCCTGAGCGCCAAGGCTTGCACTCATTAGTCATGGTTTGACACCTACTGGTTGGTCGTTGCGGCGGGTTCGAATCCCGCAGATGGCATTCCGCAATTGCTGTAACATTATTTATTTTCTCTTTGTGTTGTAATGTTCAAAGTTTTATTGTTTTACTGCTTTTATTCCCCCCTCCCAAATCAAGTAAAGCACCTCGTTTGGTGTCGTGTAAGGGAGATCAGTTGGCGAGTTCAAGTCCCATTGAGGAGAATTGGAATTTAGTGTGCCAGTAATTTTATTGTAGTTCATTTTTGTTTGGTATTGAAAGTTTGGTATTGAAAAAGGCTAAATTAAAAATAATTATTGATATATATATATATATCTCCATCCATCCATCCATCCATCTTCCCAAGAAATAGATCAAATGACACTGAGGGAAAAAACTGTGGTTATTTTGGAGAGGGTGCTGGCTGCAAAACCACAAAGGCGGAGCTGCACCCCGCCCATTCACGCAAAC